CTAAATTATCATCCTTATCATATTACTCTCACGCAAAGTTTAATACTACTTCATATGGAAATGCGAGTTTAGTTTTGCCAATGGGCTTTGCAAATGATTCAAAATAATCCTGTTTTTTAGAAATGTACTTTTTTCTGATGAGGCTAAGTTTTATAGTGACGGAAAACTTAATAGGTATAATGCTCATTATTAGTCAACTGAAAATCCGCATTGGTTTAGAGCTGTTGATCATCAAAATCAATGGAGCCTTTTGGTGTGGTGTGGTATTGTAAATGGGTATTTAATTGGACCTTATTTTTTTGAAGGTAATATAAATAGGCAAAGTTACTTGGAGTTGCTAAGAAATCATTTACCAGCATTATTAGAGGATATTGACTTAGCAACAAGATAACGAATGTGGCTTCAACAAGATGGTGCTGCGCCACATTTTGCTGTTATTGTGCCCCAGTTTTTAAATAACCACTACAATGGCAGGTGGATTGGACGAGGAAGCTCAGATTCAGGCCATGAATGGCCTCCATATCCGCCAGATTTGACGTCACCAGATTTTTTCTTGTGGGGATTCGTAAAAAATGTTGTATTTGCCCAACGATCCACAACAAGGGAGAACATGATGGAACGCACTCGTACAGCTTGTGCGTCCATACCCAGAGAGATTCTACTTAGAACAGTCGATAGTTTCGAAAGGCGTTTACATTTGTGCCTTCAAGCCAATGGAGGAAATTTCGAACAGTTACTCCGAGGTTAACTGATAATACAGTATTAGTGAGAGACAAGAGGACTCACGATAAACAAGCACCCCAGTGAGAGGCAAGGGGACTCACGATAAACAAGCACCCTAGTGAGAGGCAAGGGGACTCACGATAAACAAACACCCCAGTGAGAGGCAATGGGACTCACGATAAACAAGCACCCCAAAGGAAACGGACTTTACTACGTCCACGCCGTTGTTTCCGGGTAACGCGAAAAGTAAAATGATTACTAATCAAATAAACATTTGAGCTTGGTTAGATTTTATAAAAATTATCTTGACCTTCAAACAGTAGATGTTTAAATGGATTAGCCAGCTTGTGATGATAAATTCAATCATTTCAAGAAAAATAAGCGATTACACTCGCTGTTCCCAAAGTTAGGTGGTTTAGCCTGCTTGGGGTTTGGTAGGGGTTTCTTGGCCTNAGTGAGAGGCAAGGGGACTCACGATAAACAAACACCCCAGTGAGAGGCAATGGGACTCACGATAAACAAGCACCCCAAAGGAAACGGACTTTACTACGTCCACGCCGTTGTTTCCGGGTAACGCGAAAAGTAAAATGATTACTAATCAAATAAACATTTGAGCTTGGTTAGATTTTATAAAAATTATCTTGACCTTCAAACAGTAGATGTTTAAATGGATTAGCCAGCTTGTGATGATAAATTCAATCATTTCAAGAAAAATAAGCGATTACACTCGCTGTTCCCAAAGTTAGGTGGTTTAGCCTGCTTGGGGTTTGGTAGGGGTTTCTTGGCCTTGGTTTCTTGACCTTCATTTGACCTATGGAGGTCACGTTAATCTTATACTTTGATACATATCGGGATGTAAAATTTCCCGCTCTTTTTGAATCTGGCATTAAAAATAGGGGGTTCCATTTAAAAAAGTGATCTTGACCTTGAAATTACCTTGAAAACTGACCTCAAGGTCAAGGTCATTAATACAGGTAGATGACTCCCACTGTCCTCAACAACTTTTATCCGAACATTTTTTTCGTAGGTTGTGTAGTTTTGGAGATATCTCCGTTTGTCGATTAAAATGTGTCACCGTGTATATTAAGTTGTGGAAAAAGAAATCCATTATTTTTTCGGTAGATGGCTGTAGTGATTAATATCTCGTAAAGTATCGATCAAACAATTTCCGATTTATGATCGTTGGAAACGTGAGATTTTGCACTAAAAAATTCTTTTGTTGTTTTTTGTTTGGTCCATTCAGTTGTGAGTTACAGGGTGTTAAAAATGGAAGTCAACAAAGAAAAAATTTGGTACATTTTACAGTTTTTCTTTGATAAAGGCGAAAATGCAAGCCAGGAAGTTGTAATTGTGAATGGTGTTTATGGTGCCGATACTGTAACAGCAAATTACGTGCAATTTTGGTTTCGTCGATTCCGTTCAGGTATTTTTGATGTTAAAAATGCACCTCGCACAGGTAGACCCGTCGTCGAAAATGTCGATAAAATCACAAAAATAATCGACCGGCATGTTAGCAGTCGTAGCATCACCCAGAAGCTAAAGATCGACCATAAAACAGTTTTAAACTATTTGCACAAAGCTGGATTTAAAAAGAAGCTCGATATTTGGGTGCCACACTAATAAACACAAAGAAACATGATGAATTGAATTTCCATCTGCGAATCCTTGGCCAAACGGAATGAAATCGATTCATTTCTTAAACGAATGGTGACTGNAATTACGTGCAATTTTGGTTTCGTCGATTCCGTTCAGGTATTTTTGATGTTAAAAATGCACCTCGCACAGGTAGACCCGTCGTCGAAAATGTCGATAAAATCACAAAAATAATCGACCGGCATGTTAGCAGTCGTAGCATCACCCAGAAGCTAAAGATCGACCATAAAACAGTTTTAAACTATTTGCACAAAGCTGGATTTAAAAAGAAGCTCGATATTTGGGTGCCACACTAATAAACACAAAGAAACATGATGAATTGAATTTCCATCTGCGAATCCTTGGCCAAACGGAATGAAATCGATTCATTTCTTAAACGAATGGTGACTGGGGATGAGAAATGGGTCACATACGACAATATTATGCGAAAACGATCGTGGTCAAAGCGCGGTGAAGCAGCTCAAACGGTGGCCAATCCAAGACTAACGGCCAGAAAGGTTCTGCTGTGCATTTGGTGGGACTGGAAAGGAATCATTTATTATGAGTTGCTTCCATATGGCCAAACACTAAATTCGGATCTCTACTGTCAACAACTGGACTGTTTGAAGCTAGAGATTGACNAGAGGCGTTGTGTTCCATCAGGACAACGCCAGGCCACACATGTCTATAGTGACTCGCTAGAAACTCCGGGAGCTTGGTTGGGAAGTTTTGATACATCCACCATATAGTCCGGCATCAAGCGATTACCATGTTTTTCTTGCATTGCAAAACTTCCTTAGTGATAAGAAATTGGCATAAAGAGAAGATTGTGAAAATCGATTACTAGAGTTTTTCGCTAATAGGGACCAAGACTTCTATAAGAAAGGCATTATGAAGCTACCTCTAAAATGGCAACAAATTATAAAACAAAACGGTGTATATTTGACCCAAATCGGACAATCCGAAATATATTAAATAAAGTCTTGAAGTTCACATAAAAATAATGGATTTCTTTTTTCCCAACCTAATATATATATATATAT